TTACAAGTGTCAATCGATAAACTCGTATTCGAAATGTGACTGATCACATCGTAATCATACTTTATGCGAATTTGTTTTAATCTCGTTTCCGTTGTTCTAAATCTATTATTAATAGCGTTAACTAATTCACATTGTTATCTGATATAAGAAATTGATACGGTACTAGAAATTACATAATACTGTTTGCTTGAAACTAAAGAAATTCTATGAGATACTACTTCCGATAGAAGAAAAGGATTTCTCTAATCTTTTAATATAGTTAATAATAATTATATTTATAACTAGTTACTAATCATTCTAAACAGTCGAGAAATTTTAATAATTGTACATTACAAATTTGCTTCTAATCTAATTAAATTGAATACTTTACGAAACGATCTCTTTGTGCCGTTATGCCGAATACCTTATCTTGGAGAACTTGTCTCATATCAGTTTGTCTCTTTAATTGACGTGGTAAACGGAAACACGCCTGGATCAATCGCAGTAATATCCAAACGGCGGCAGCGAGAGCCACGTACGTCCAAGTGGTGAACACCATGCTTGCAAAATCGACCGAAACCTGTTGATGCTTCATATCGATAGTTTATTATTTCCAACCAAGCCTGCAATCAGAGAACAAATAAAAGGGCGTGAAACTGTGAATAACTTTATTTTTTATTGGAACACAGTAATAAACACAGGCAATTAATTCTGATAATATTTATATGGCACCCAATGCAGCACCTCCATCACGATGTCCTCCAAACTTTCCTATGTACATCCCTGGTGTAGCGTGAAGATCTTTGCAAGTTTTAGTTACACGCAATAACGAATAAAATATTAAAAATATTATGACAATAAAATATTATGACGATTATTATTGTTTATAACTTATACACGTAAAATAATGATGTGCCAATGTTTATTCTAAACAATAATCACATTTACTCTTTTATCTTGAATACAACATCAGCTTTCTCATTGTTTAGGAGTCTCAGATTTAATAGAATGTTGTTGAAGAAAGAATTAATAAACACAATTTGTTTACCTTGAAATTGCTGCTTTGCTGGAACATTGGATGAATATAAGGAAGAACTAAAAATATTGTGTCAAAGATTTGGATTCAATTTAGATCGAAGATTTAATTCAAAAGATATACAAAGTTCAAGAGTTACGATTGGTAAAAAGAATGGATGAACAGTTCAACAAACTTAATAACAGATTGATCAAAATCAACTCTCATACTTTTATATTTGATAAAAGCTTGCGTCATAGTGTATAACACCAAACCGTTTCAATCCTAATATCCCGAATTGTATAAATAAAATAACGAATACAAGTCTATTCGTTATAGATTCATTATAATTCTTTGTAATTCGTTAGTCTATAGTCTTATCTATGCCCCAAAAATGTGAAATACGTTTTCAACGGTATAATGAATCGAGAATGGAGTTTATCGTTCAATAAAATACAGTTAAGCCTGAAATGATCATATTAATTCTCAGCCATGACAATCATCAGGGACAAAGTTCGTCGAAACTGGGGTTGGGGAAAGTCTGAGTAATCTATATTTTATATACCTGCTATAGACATCGATAAACTCACGTTATTCTAGTAGTGTTATTGTAGACACATCACTCCATATGTGAAAATTGAATAAATGTACTACTACTTCTTCTTAGGACCCCAAATTTGAGAAAAAAAAATGTGTAGGGCCTACAGAAACGACCCAAAATCAATATTTAATTTTTATATGCTCCGAACCTCTGTGCTCTAGACTTGAACAATATTTTATACAATTGTATTATCATTGTATATAGATGAAGTTATTTGCAAATATTTGCTCAAGCATTCTAACTTCACTTTATAGTGTGTAGCTATTAATTATTCTGCATCTTCTTATTGTACAAAATGTATTTCGTAGATGAAATCAACTTTATTATTGATAATTGATTCACGTAAAGCCTCTGCAATAAAATATAAGAACTGTCGACGTTTAAAAAACTATGCGTAGAGAAGTTTCTTAACTTCAATTTTGATAATTCTGAATAAGAAAGAAATTCTACCATCCATTCTACGATTCAACTTTTATGATATTTCAATCTTTTGATATTAAATATCGAAGTCAGCCTTCTATGACCGTACTGCAGAATTAATTAGTCGAATTTTTTTTTAAAACATCTTTCAATCTTACGTATTTTAAACCTAATCTTCAAACATGCTAGCATAATGTTCTCCTTTGAGATTTGCCACGCATTCAATATTCATCGTGAAATCTTCTTCAGTGCTAAGAGCTTCTGATGAAAAATGCTGTTTAACTATTAATAATGAAGAATGTATTTTAAAAAACGCACAGTTTAACATGATAGTATGCAGTGCACGTAGTAAATGTCAATAACATTGTGACCATTATTCGCTGCCGATACACCGTGAGTGTATTGATTCCACTTACTCCGTTACAACGAAAGATGTGCATTATGTAGGGTGAAAATGAACTTCCGTGATTTCCATTGCAAATATTTCGTTGGAAATTCGTAGTAACTTGTGCAAACGAGATTCGTGTTGACGAATAGAAAGTGATCCATAATACATAAAAGGTTTACATAGAAATACAGTTATAATTTTTCACTCACCATACTCGAATACAAATTGACGTTAGATTGTTATTGAAGATTAAACGCAGATATGTAGTATACTCGGAGTTTATGTAAACAAAGAAAAGTACTGAATGAATACTCGGAACATCGTATATATAATAATAATAGGCATACGAATAATTGAAACTGCGACAAGTAATGTTTGAAATTATTTGAAATTGTTTGAAATTGTTGAAAATTAAGGTACGAGATGTTTGAAATAATAAAATTCAGTTGTTTCCACCGTAATTATAAAAGAAATAATGTGATTCGTTTGAAATAGATATTACGATGTTATGTTTGATTTCTAATGTCCACCTGTTAAAGCACATTAGCGATTATGTATAAAAATGAATTTTACTTGCACATTTTGTGTTTCATTTGAACATAACAGTATTTAAAAAATACAAAAAAACATTGATTTACTAATATAATTCGAAATTCAATTTTAATGTTTCTAGGGTACATAATAAGAAACAATTAGAAATATAAAGAAGCATACAATTTTTTAAAGCGAATTAATATCGAAATACAATCATCTGTTCATAGAGTGATGGAGTAATTATCGAACAAAAGCTAGGGCAATTACGTATAATTTTATAAAAATCGATTTCACTGGCAATGGCTAACTGGCACAAATTACAAAAGAAAGATTCAAAAAGATTTGGATTTCAAATATTAATCCATTAATATGACAAATCATTCAGTTTTAATATTTCCAAAACAAATCAACTACATTAAAACAAGACAACACTTAATTCGAGGAAAACGTAAAAAGAAATAGTTACTAATTATGCAAACGTGACTATATAAATACAAGTGTATTCAAAATTGTCGAATCAGAAATTTGAAAATTTGAAATCACTTATAGACATTCTATTATTTTCTAATTGTATCATATTTTAATAATAACAAGCGTTCAAGTAAGAATCAACAAAACGTAACACCATGTAGAAACTTAACATGGAAAATATAAGAGTCAACTATAATTTAAGTTTCCCTGCTTCTAGCGCGCAAATTTAACTTGAAAATATGGTTTTGAAATCCTTGATTGTTTTGCGCCCCTCTTTCCCGTTTAACTTACCTTTTCTTTAAAAAAATACGAGCGCGATCATATTGGTAAGAAAAATAAAAAGCGACACAGAGGAAACGAAGCTTGTAACACGAGTAGTAAAGTAGAAGAAACTGCAATGTGTTAAGCTGACAAGTGAAACGTATCTAGTATCTACTACTACTGACCCCTATCGAAACAATCGATATATGTATATAGTCAGGTATGATTAAGCTGACATCCTGACATCCTACAAATATTTTAACATCAACAGGACTCCCTATAGAATTAATAATTTGTTGCTAACTTTCTTCCAATCGCATTTAACATGCAAATGAACGACTTATTCAAAACTACATTTAAAACATTCAGGACAATAAATTTAATGAAATATTTATGAACAATGTTTGTTGTAACAATTAGGCAACTTGATTAAATGAAACTGTTCTTTGTTCTTTGAAACGAATTTTCATTTATATTCTTTTCATTTATATTTTATTGATATTATAATTATATATTATAGGTTTCTTGTCAGTTAAATTGTAATGGAAACTTTTTGTTAAATATATTTTATTCGCAATAAGTTGCTACAAAATGATCACGGTTATGCCATTAATAAAAGAATGTTATGTAACAATATAGGTATTTTATTAAGGTTTCATACTACTTTCGTTTCCACGAAAAATAATTTGTAAATTTCAACGATCAACACTCGTGTAATATTTGAATATTCAAATTTTTAGAAATAATTTTATTCTCTGAAATTTTATATATGATATACTAAAATAACATATATTGAATGATTCGAGAATCTCTTTGTGCGAAGCGTTATCGATAATTAAGAGTTACGCTTAATTAATATTCTGCAGTATATAGCAAAAGTATATGGTTTTAGCGATTACTGGTTTCAGTACAGTAACTTTTAATGTATTTAAACATTTTGAAATATTTTTAATACTTTTGTAGCAATTATTATGATTTTAAATACTTGTTAAATATTATATTACGATTTTATATAATGTAATTATAAACAGCATTCTAAACATTAAAAATATGAAAATAAATTATAACATTTATGTATGGATTTTTAGAAAAAAAAATGTTTAAATCACGTAACATGACTAATTTTTTATATGCCGTCTAATTAAAAATGTAATTTAGGCTTTTCTAATCTTTTAAATTAATCTTCATTAGTATAAGAATTATAGTTTTAAAAACTAAAAGGTAGGTAAATTTATTAGTTACAAGATGACTACATACGAGACGTATATATTTAAAATTCATTTATTAATTACAACGAAATTATCATTAATGAATTATATTATTTCAGTAGTTTTTACACGATTTTTTAATTAATTATAATAAAATGACCACGAATGGATCATATAATCTGCAAGAATTTTTAATTAGTAAAATATATGATAGCTATATGAGCCATACCATCTATAAAGCTTTTTATTATGATACAATGGCCATATGTAGGTCATATCGAGAGTTTTTCACTAATTAGTTCAGGTAGAGACATTGGTTTCTTATGCTATTTACACATAGTTTTGTTTTTTTCTGAGAAGGCTCTCTGGTGGATTATTTCGTCCCGAGTGTATTAATAGTGATTGACTCTCGCAAACAATTTACATACTTAATAATGTGTAAATAATTTATGATTGACATTTGAATTGAATATTTAATCTCTTTTTGAAATTTATTTAGAACTTTTCCGCTTAGATATAATTGTTTGTAAAAGACATCATACAGGAAATAAAAATACAAAAACAGAAGTAAATAAAAATATCTTTAATTTAATATCGTTGAGTAAAATATAAAAAGAACGTATTACTAATTTAATGTTATAATTTCTTTGTTTTCCGTCTCTAAGTCTTTATAAATTAAAAGTAGAATAAAGTAACAAATATCCTGAATAGTACAAACAATGAAAATGTAAAGTGATGATAGCTACAACATAAACTTACAAAATTATTACACATAATCGTTCTCACTCTTTCATTAAAATTCAGAAACGCCTATAAACTATGAATAACAAGGTAATTAAATGAAGAATACATATTTTTATTTTTACAGAAATAACTTAAAAATAAAATACTCCACATCCCAGCTAACATTAATCATCTAAATACAAATTGACACTTTGATGATATTCGATAGCTAAAATTTGAATAGCATCACCATTTAGATTTCAAGAATTTATTGCTTATCACTTAACTACCAAATTCAAATCTTTAAATGTGATTGTAATACATCATTTATTTCCTAAGAAATTATACACTCTCTAAGCCCAATAAATTACGTACATGGTAATTTGGAATGTGTGTGTGACATCACAGAGCAGTCAATAGTAGGGAAACAGAGGCCTAATGATACTTTTATTTTTAACATTTTATATGTCAATGTAATCTTATGTCATGGACCTCACATAGAATAAGAGGTAAGGTGTGGCGGAATTTCTCGGATTCGGCGCTAATTTACCTTCCAACTCTCTTAAGGGTATCACATGCACTGCCTCGTCATCACATTCCAACCAAGTACTAGGATACTTATGACGTCTGATACCACAACAATCCATGCTGCGACAACCGACCCTAAATAATTGCTCTTTAGACTCGCTGGCACTCGGTTTACTTCTGAAGTATTTCAATATGCCAGATGCTTTGTCCGACGAAGATGTATTTGCGTTTGTGCTGCTGCTGCTATGACTGGAAGCCTGTCTCTTACTATCCCTGTCGCATTGGAAGTACTCCGCAAAGGCAGATTCATCCGGTAGTCGTGTGTACGCAACATAGTGGCCAGCTGTTGCGGTTGCACCTTGATGCATAATTACAGAATAAAGTTTATACACATGTCGAGATTCTGATCTACCGCTCGTCCCACGTGTTTGATCGTTATTGCATTCTTCACAGAAACATTGTAACGTCAAAGGCGTTGGCATGTGATTATTAATTTTTTCCATTGACCTAGAGAATGATACAAATTTTCATTTATGAAATATTTTTTAAAAACAGATTAGAGTTTCCAAGTAAACGTCTTTATTTTACCGTTGAATTGAAACTCAAATATTCCGCCACTTCTTAAATAACTCACATAAAATAAAGACATGCTATCTTACCCTGCTGCAGTAGAAAATCGTTTCAACTGCAATATGAGTAATCTTGGTAATGACGGAAAGCACACAGCTCGTCTAGCTTCATTGTATCGAAGACATCGAGCGCACCAATATTTATCTCTACCCCAGAGAAGTTCACTAGTAACTACTGCACGTTTGTACACTTCACTGCTATCCATTGACCTTATATCTTCATCTACAAATAAGTATACCTACAGTACATAAATTTAATAAAAAGTTAAATCTCATTACCATCACCTACCAGTTTCATTTGACCGGTCAATGTCAATAGGCACACAGATATCGAAAAATGTTTCCTTCCGTTCTGTAACGTGTTCACATTCGAGGCATGTAGTTCGTAAAAGACTGACTCCTTCAAAGTCTTCAGAAATGAAACATTTTTTGCTTTCTGGCCTATGACTGTTTATATCTCCATTACTCTCCAGAAACTCGGAGTGACCATTTTCATACGGTCTTGAAGACACTGATATACCATTCAGGTTGGACTGTATAAGGCAAGATGAACTTCCTCTCGTTGTTATTTTCTTTTTTTTCCTAGATTTACAAATGCTTCTTTTATTGGAGTTAGTACATTCTGATTGCATGTCTGCTGAATGTTCTGAAGAGAAATCTGACAATCCATTATTTTGACCAAACTGGCTTTCTCTGTGCCTGACCAACAATTGAAACGTCTCTCTAATGTTATCCAATAAACACACTAAAAGTTCATGAGCATCTTGTTGTTGGTTTCCCTCGTAGATAGGATTTACCTCTCTATAATGGAAAGAAATAAAACTACAAATAACACGTTTTGCATATACCTGCATATACCTATTTTTGTGTTATATACCTTAATGCTTGTAAAAATGCATCTGGCTGATATGGTTCACAATTCTCTCTTGTTTCAGATGCACGTAATGCTATAAACAATTCATGTAATTTTTCAGTGGCTATTTGTATTCTATGTTTATTGTTGTCTCCAGTAGGTCCGGCCAAAGCTAACAAATCTTTACTACTCCAACTACGACTGCCACTTGACATAAGCGACATACCAGTCCTTCCCAAAGATGACGATTTTATCTACCACAAAAAATATATTACCTAGAACACTTTTATTTTTTTATACAAACTGATAAGAAATTATCTATAGTTTTATTTTATTCAGATAATGTAGCTACTTTAATTTCGAAACTTACTTTAGTTTGAAATTGTTTCTCATTTAAATTAGACAAATCAGTTGCTAAGTGATGCAAATTATGTAGAAACGATGGTGCAAATCGTAAAGTATATATCACACTGTTCAAAAAACATGTATTTCCCAAGTTACATAAAGTAGCTATTCGTAATCCTTCTGTGTCTCCATTTGACACATTGTATCCTCCATCTTGGTGATTGTTTATTTGATTACGATAACCATTCAACATTTTGCTTGTACCTTGATAATCAATAATTATTAAATCTTATACAACTGATAGATGTGACTTATTAAATATAAAAAAAAAAGGCTATTATTGTCTACATACTATATGTAAAAGTTTCTCTATTCAAAAGGCTCTCTCTAGCTGATGAATGAGGAGCCTGAGAGATGTTAATAGAAACTGTACGTTCACGACCAGAAAGGGATAAGCACAATTTCTTTCTAGGAGGAACCGAACGTTTATCCGCGTCTTCTTCTGTTTCTAATACTGTCATTTTCTGTTAACCTAAGTAATAATAAACTATAAAGTATGCTTGTTCAAATAAGAATGTTGTTAATTACAAAAATTAACTATAAAAACATATAATTTTCACACTTATAGGTTGCTGTACTAGTTATTTAACAAATTGTCAGATTAAATGTCTTCTTGTTTTTATAAATAAACAATTTTTTATAAAAATAATTTTATGGGAATAGTTATATACAAGGTGGGGCATATAAATAGCAACATGATAAATATTTTTAAATAAAATTTTAATATAAAATGATGAAAATAAGTAAATCAAGAATATATTAATTTTGAAAACAAAGTAACTTCATGTTAAAAACATACAAATGCATTCTTAAATGAATTATAACCAGAATATCGATTCCAGATGTAAACATATTGATTGTATCAAAAGATATCTCCACTATTCGTAATTAAATATTATAATTAAAAAGAATAAGCATTTAAAGGATTAAAAATGTCTCCGTTTGTATTATAAGCATAAAAAAAGTCCATTACTTACAATCAGTTTATTAATCATGAAATAGATATTGTAATAAACAATCATTTGCACAAAATTTGTTAATCTTCTTTAGTATTGCTACAAATGCAACTTCACATAAAGTTATATCAGTTTTACGCACACTTCAATAATATTATTTCATAAACACTTCATCAAATAAAATGTATTAACTGTGTGTATGTATCAGTTCGTATAAAGTATCTAATCCGTACTACGTAAATATAAAAACTGAATTGAACACTCTTTTACTTACGTATTATTCAGTGTGGAAGTCATGGAACAAATGAGTTTTTTATTAACCTTAGTTAATCAAGAAAAATCTGTATTTACAATTAAGATTCAAAATCTTTTCTTAAATAACACGAGCTACATTTCTACTATCACACGAAACAGTTTTTTGTAACAATATTACAGTAGCCATTACTCGTTCCACCCAATATCATGTATTCATGAGTTCATGAGCGGTTCACAATTTCACATACTGCTAGTTTTTTACTTCACTGTTCACACTGTTACCATCAACCGATTGTAAGATAAAGGTGTCAACTGCTTCCCCTTGTGCTAGTAACTCTCGATTAGTATTCTCCCACTACCTCTGCTTTAGGAACTGCCAGAGACTGTGTATATGAGCAGCTCTATGTAGTATTCAATACCCAGGTAAAAGTAGGTATGAAGAGGGTAAGTTTTCGTCAGGGGAGTGTCACTAGAGTGTCCATGGGCACCGATTTAGGCACCCTTATTTTAGGTCTCCAGCATCTTCATCGTTCGATCGCGATTTTGATCTTTTTTTCTCAAAATTAGAAATTACTTTTCTGATTCACCTTTGTCTCTCCATTCAGACTTCTTCTTTGATTTATGTTCTTTATCCTTATCCTAATAATTTCTCAACATATTTTAAACGAAGGAACCTTGCTTCGACTTTTCTTCTTCGTTTAACAGCGTGATCCTTTGTATAGTTTAAAGTAGCATTGAAAGTATTTTAAGTTAGACTTAGTTCAAGAAAGAAAATATCGATTATCCGCCGCAAGATTAATATTAAGTACGTTAATATTAAGATTTGTAGATTCAACCGAATTATATTTCATTGGAGCTAATTTCTTATGCAAAGCAATGGAAATTCACATTTTGAGTGAGGATTTGAAATAAAATAACACCTTTTTGTATTATATACGATAACTTAAGAAACATTGCCGCCATTATAGTTGTCGCTAAGCAACTACCATAGACTATACATTTTCACGTACAGTAGTTCTTGAAAAATTGATTTCAGCGCTTCCTGGTGTTATGAGTCATTAAACTACGTATAGACTCAGATTTTATTAAGCGTGTCATATCTTGAATATATCTTTACGATTTAATAAATAGACGCTGTGTAACATTAATCTTAAAATTTGTAATAAATAAATAATTTCTTTTGAAAGATACTTGGATTTATATAGTTTCAATAATGACATCAGCAATAGAATCCATGGTAGTAGATGAGAAACAGTTACCGGAAAAACCTATTGATAGAGAAAAGGTATGTAAAGTAACAATCATTCTAATTAATATCAATAAAAATCTTTTTCAGAATTCTCTTTCATCTTTCTATGTAATCATAATTATCTAATTTTTAGACATGTCCACTTTTACTTCGAGTATTTTGTAACACTGGAAGACATCACAACATAATGGAATATAGTAGAGGAAATGTTCCCTCAAACGAACTACAAATATATACATGGTAATGTTAATTTAACAAATATATATATAGTTTAATATATTTTTTAAAAAATAATATACTTTCAATTACAATTAAGTAACAATGTTCAATGGTTTGGTTAAAAGGATGGATGCAACATTAAGAGAAATAACCGGATTAGTTAAAGAAGTAAATCCAGATGCTCGAAGTAAAGGTACATATTTTGATTTTTCATTAGTAACTCCTGAACTACGTAATTCTGGATATCGCATGCGTGAGATAGGTGTGACATGCTCAGGACAAAAAGGTGCAGATGATAATAAAACACTTGCACAAGCAAGGTATGTGTACTTTGTTACATAATGATGTAATTTTGAAAATACTGAATGATTCTCTTCATTTGTATAATTTTAGGTTTACAATTGGTGATTACTTAGATATATCTATCACACCTCCAAATCGACAACCAGCAATTAGACGTGGTGCACTACGTCAATACTAATATAAGTGACAAAAATATTATTCTTTGTAAGTTATATTAATTAATTTTCTTTTATTAATAAATCATGTATAGTACAAAAATTACTGTTATATTAATATTTAAATGTAAAAATGTATTCTATAACTTAAGAAAGATTGAATGAATTTTTACTTTAATTATGCATTTATTAAATTGTGATTTTCAATTCATTTTAAAATTTATAATTAAATGTCAAGATTTCATTATAGAAATGATAATTTTACATAGTAATTTTTATTTTAATAATAATACTTATATAATGTTATTTTACAGGTATAAAAACATTATAAGTGTTCATATAAATAACAAATGGATTAATTCTGAGTTAAAGAAATACAATATTTATACATGTGAAAATAAAAGAAAATTATATAGAAATGGCAAAAATAAATTTTTATATGAAAAATCTATTTAAATACATGTACACTTTTATTGACTATACATAATTCTTCAATGTTTTTAAAATGCTTTTTATAGCTGTAATAAAATACAATTACCAAAATCATGTATAAAAATTATTAGACAAACCTGAAAAGATATTGTGTCTGTATTTCAGAATAGTAGAGACAGAAAAATACATTATATGCACAGTTTGTACGTATTTTAAGATTGTACTTAATATTTTTGATTCTAATTCCTATCATTTGTAGCACTGCTATACTAAACCAACCTAAGTCGATATAACAGAGCGTGACTCGAAAATGGTAAAGGGGTTCTAGAACCCCTGAGAGCATGTGACAATTTTACATTACATGTCACGTCTATCATATACCTTATCTGTGGTGATTCTTACAAGAAAAACCTTTATCGAATGTTGACTTAAAATTATTGACAAAGTTGATGTTGAATAAACGAACTTACATTGGATATAAAATTCTTTCAAATACTGCTTTGGTTTTGGTGATTTCTTATTTGTTTAATAATTGGACATAAATCCAAAACCATAATTATTTTACTGTTAATTTTCATCTTACATCATTAACTCAAGTTTTGAAATAACCGCTACATATAGTTACTAAGTGCTACTGCATTACAGTAGAGGGTATTCGGGCCATGTTAACAAAATAATATATTGAGTGAGCCTACCCTGAAATACGCGGGAGTTGTCAATCCATACTTTACGTTAATACCAATGGAATTGAACACACGGCTTATTACTTACTATATTTAAATTTATATGTAAAATTTATGACGTATATAATTTTTCTATTTCTTCATGAAATTATAAAAAACCTAAAATTGCCGGGAGCCTGGACACTATATCAGAATTTCCATAAAATAAAGTTGAATATTAGTAAGTATATCTTATCTTTTAGTTTATATATAATCATGTTTAACAATCATGATTGACAGTTTATCTGTACATGTATATTTTTCTCGTTATTCAAATATTCTATATTCAGATAATGATAATTTTAGGTTACCTGAGTTAATCATTTTCATTCAGCAATTACCAATTGGAACTCCATATAATTATATATTTAAATATTTTTCTATGTATATATATATACATGTTTATATATGCATATACAAACAGATATGATAATGTAAGTGTTTGTATATAAAATATTGATTTTTATATCAAATAATATGTTTTATTACATTTACATTGATAAAAATTAAATATTGTTTTCAGATATATATAAAGAGTAAAGAACTGTATTTAATTCATCACATCAATTTTGGATGGCCATATTAGTAAAAAAATTTTGGGCTCTGTGTAGCAGACAGTTACTTTTCTGTAGGAATCATGTTGATATTTGATCTTTTAAGAAAGTTATTTGGTTGGGTAGATGAAGCTCCAAGAAAACGCAGAGCTGTGTCATTTAGTTCAGAAACAGAATTTGTAACTCCAAAGAAACATTGTTGTGACTATAAAACTATCAATACGGATAAAACACCAATTGAAATCAATGATGATAGTGACAGTGATGATACTCCAATTATTACAAAGCATAAACATTCTCCCATTAAATCATCCAGTAGATTAAATGGTACATGCAGCAGTAGAGAAAAATCATTTACATGTTATTCACCGACTTATTCATCACCTAAAACTCAACAGTTTTATGACGAATTAAATATGGGTTATTTTGGTAAAAATAAGAAAAGGGGGCAAAAGACTGCAATGCCTCAACGGTATACCACTTTAAACAAAACTCATCGTTTGAAAGAAAAGACTCAGTATGAAGAATTATTACAGAACTTTCTCCCACACAGGATACATGTTATATGTGATAAATATGAAGAGAAAACGCCAATGCCAGATGTGGTAGAAGTAATAGATTTAGAAAAGTCCGATTCTTCAACTCCAGTCTCTAAAGTTCAACAAATGTCTAGAAAAGAGGACACATTACGAACACAGTGGCATACAACAAACAAAGAAAAACGAAATAAAGAAAAGGCAAATAAAGAACCAGTGGTTATTACTGTAGATAATGATGAGAAAGATGAGACAGTACATTCCATTTATAATAAAGCACAGTCGTCTAAAAGGAGTATTAATGTGGAAACATCAACAACAAATAAACATTATGAATATGTGGCTACAAATACATTACGAGATCAATTATCAGCAAAAGCAGTCATCAGAGATGATTTTGTTCCACAAGTAGCGAAAAGGTACAATGAACGGATAGAGCAACGATACAAGGAAGTTGAAGAACTTAAAAAGATGACATGTGTATTATCTAAACATAATCGTTTAGCACGAGAAGCTGCTTTGGAAGAGCATTTAGCTCGTTCCATGCGGTTATGTGAAGCTGTTCTCGATGAAAGAGAAGATGAATCAATATTACCTTCTTTAACAGAGGAAATGATGCAAGATGTGAAGAATGCTCTTATTCCTCGTCCACCAGATGAAGTTCTTGTCGAAGGTTTTGGTTTAAGAATCACAAGAAAAGACATTCATACATTGGCTGATTTAAATTGGTTAAATGATGAAGTAATTAATTTTTATATGAATTTATTAATAGCTAGAAGTACTGGTGACAAATATCCAAAAGTACATGCTATGAATACATTTTTCTATCCAAAATTAATCTCAGGTGGACATACATCTCTCAAGCGATGGACAAGGAAAATTGATATTTTTTCACAAGATCTTATAGTTGTTCCTATACATTTAGGTATTCATTGGTGTATGTCAATAATTGACTTTAGAGATAAGTCTATTCGTTATTATGATAGTATGGGTGGCAATAACCTAAAATGTTTATCAGCATTGCGACAATATTTAGAAGATGAAAGTTTGGACAAAAAGAAACAAACATATAATACCAGTAACTGGAAGTTAGAGTGTGCCAAAAATATTCCACAACAAATGAATGGAAGTGATTGTGGTGTTTTTTCTTGTATGTTTGCTGAATATATTTGTGCAAATAAGAAAATCACATTTACGCAACAGGACATGCCATATTTTCGAAATAAGATGGTGTATGAAATATTGAAGTCCAAACTTTTATAAAAATAGTAATTATTTCAGTAATGGTTGCTAGTGAATGTCCTACATATGTTGTTATAACTTCCATAAATCACAAAATATTTTAGCATAAAAGGATTTACTACTGCGTAGAATACAAACTATTGTTTGTATTACTACTATTAAACAGTCTCACAGTATAATTTCTGTTTGCGATCAGAAAAAAATTTGGTTTGATACAGGATTTTCAGTTTTGTTAATATGCCAAAAAAATGTTACTAGTGCTTATAATTGATAACACAACATTCTAATAAATCATTTTTTTTTCTCAGCAGTAATACATTATTTTGTAAAAAAATTTATTCCTACTAAATTTGGCAATTAAGTAACTTTTGTAAAGAACAAATGAATCAGATGTGTTATAATGTTTTGTTTCGAATAAATGTAAAATTATAAATATATTTAAGGTACATACATTTATGTAATTCATCATTTACATTATTCATGCTACAG